CCCCAAAACCCCAAAACCCCAAAACCCCAAAGGTGAGAATAGATTACATAGAGACTATTCGAAGATGATAAATTAATATTTAAGTTCTCAAATTAGAGCAAAGTACTTTAAGTTTCTTCTTAATTTCTAATTTTTTGCATATGTCTCTATTGTCTTCAAGCAACTAATAGCTAAGGATTTAGTAGTTGAAGGACAAACGATTAATGAATTTGATTCATATCCATAAAACTCTTGTAGGCCTTATCAATGGCACTCTGCTCTTTGTATACAATTTATGTTAAGTAGAAGAATAGGAAACAACCCATAAAGATAATACAATCCAGACGATCAATAAAACCTCCATGTCCTGGGATCGTATTAGAAAAGTCTTTCTTTTTGTAAGCACGTTTGAATCCGCTTGCCATAAAACCTCCGAAAGGTGCAATGAAAGAAGCATAAAGAGATATGGCTAGAGCATGATACATAACAGGAGATATGTTAAATATGTAAATGCCAAATGGTCCAAGGTCAAATGCCTATGGACTAGATTAGAATATCTCTCCAGCTGTGCAGTCTAATACTTCAAACATACTGATACTTATATTGGGTTTTTAGCAAACGAGCCACTTCCATTGTCCAAGATATCCTGAAAATACAAAATTACTTAGCAAAGCCCCAAACGCACCTCCCAAAAACCCTTCAACAGTCTTTTTTGGAGATAACTTGATTAGTTTTGTTTTTCCAAACCTCCTCCCTACTTAATGTGCACAAACATCATTCATTACAACTGCAAATACTCCAAAAACAAACCAATAGTAGCCTTAATAAAGTGTAAAGATGTAACAGCTAGCAACGAATGTTCCTAGTATGCTCATTATAATAGATATCCCATATCCCTTGACTTAGTACTGATAATTGCCATATCTTATCAAATTGAAAACAAAATAGATGATTGAGAATGTAAACATTGCAAACACTGTAATGTAATGATATTCGAAAATCAATTTATGGTAGATTGTCTCTCTCTCAAACAAGTAATCAAGCTAAGATCTCTTTAGTACAATGTTGGGTAAAAAAATCATCTATGAAGACACTAGATTTATTAGGACTACATATTTGAAATTTGTTTTCTCATTCAGTTCTGGCTCATCAGTTACAGCTAAAATCATAATGAGAATGAATATTGAAAGTATGCTTACAAAGAATTTCGAATATACTAACAACCAGCAAGCAATAGATCATAATTTAAGTATAGATATGGCCCATACAAAGGATTGTAATTAATGTTGATATCATAAAGAATGCCATAACAGCTCTTGTTTTAACTTCTTATCTCTTCTCTCTTTTAGCTATTTTTTAGGCAAGTTCTTCATTATTAGTTTCAATCTCAATTTTTTACTACGTCTCCTCTTCAGTCTTCGCTTAAAGCGGTGTTTTAAGATTCTCTAATTACTGTGAGGCTATATTTTGCTTAATTTTTTCTTATGATGTATCCTAAGACTATATTTAAGTTCTTTTTTTTGGCATTATTAATTGATATAAAAGATTATTAAATTTGTTCCTTTTTACCTTAAGTTTTTGATGTTTTAATATTACCTAATGGGGTTTTGGGGTTTTGGGG